ATTATTGTAAGCCGCCCTGAGTCCCCTCAGGGAAAAGGGCGGCCTATAAGTGTTCAATAAAACTCTAAAACTCTAAACTCTACTTCCAGATATTTATTATTTTTTGCTTACTCCTGATTTAAGTGTGTTGTTAGCAGGCTTTGGTTTATTATGTTATTGAACTGTAGTGTTATGGTTCGATTAAAGCAGTAAACACCACCCCAGTTCAAGGAACCACCAGCTCAGAGCTAACAGGAGCAGCCTTATCAGGCAACTCCTACTACTAATGTTGACAGGGCAAGCACAGAGAGCGAACCCCACCCCCTTCCAGCACTGATAACGTTACCTAATCAAGTCACGAAATGTTTACAAGAAAACAACCCAGCTGAGACAACACAAAAGGCCCCACATTTCTCCTCGTCTTCTCCTTCTGTTTCTCCTGCACTCTGCAAAACCTACTCCCCTCTACCACTGATGATGCTCCCTAGTTGGGTCATGAAACAGCTGCAAGAAAACCACCAAGCTCAGAGAGCACCAAGGACTCCTCAGTATTCTTCTTCTCTGCAAGCCTCACTTCCCACTAACCCTGATGTTACCTAGTAGGGTCATGAAATGTCTGCAAGAAAACAGCCACGCTCAGAGAGCACCAATAGTTCATCCCTGAGCGACAAATACATGCTTCTCTGGGGGAAACTAATTAGTTGTTCAGGACCCCACTCAAATAGCCAATCAATCCGATTCTTCTTGACCGGTCCAATGCCCAACCCGTTCAAAGACCGCCTGGCTCCTAATGAATTACAGCCTTGCTTGAAATTTTTTTTTAAAAAAAAACCTGAATAAGTATGTCTGTGACACAGGGCTGGCATCCTTTGCCTCTGAATAGAAACTTACCTCCAAGTAGGAGACTTTCAAGGCAAACTGCCACTCCACTTTCTGCTGCAGCTCTTGGAAAAGCAGCATGATGACCCGTGGAATGGCTCCGACTGTGGGGTCGTTCTCTTGGTCAGAAGTATACGTCCCGCCCATGGAATAGGNCCTCGGCTCACTTTACTGTGATCCCACCAAAATCCGCTTCCTTGTCATTTCAGCTAATCCTTTCCCGGTTTCTGGAAGAGCTCCAAGCCGTTCTTTCTCTCTTCAAATCCTTGAAGATGGGTTGACGTGTCTTCCCTGTCTTGGGACCTCCTCTTCTTCTCCTCCAGGCTTGAGATTCGGGTGTGTGTGTGTCGTGAGTGCGAAAGATCCACTCACACCCTCTCCCCCCCCCTCAGAAAGGTTGGAGGGGGGATCGCTGGCCAAGCTTTTCAATTTTGGGAGAAAAGGTTGGGGGGGGGGAAAGGAAGGGGTGACCACTTCCCCAAAGGAGCATCGCTTCTAACAGCATCCCTTTCAAAATTTAAAAGTCATGAGGCGGGGAAAAGTGGAAACAGCCCCGGCGAAGCCACGAAGTTGGAACGAAGATCCAGGAATCCCCTTGGAAGTGAAGCCAGGGCGAGGATCCCCGCTCCGGGCACGGGCTGCCTTCCCCCCCCCCAAACCCTCCACCCTTCTTCCGAAGGGCCACAATGCGGGGGAGGCCGCCCGGTCTCGGAAGCCTCGGAATGACAGCCCAGGCCTACCTCGCAGGGTTGTTGTTTGGTGAGGGGGGGGGAAAGCCCACCGAAGCAACCCCCTCACAGATACAAAAAAAAGGCGGGAAACGATGGGCGCCTCAGGGAAAAGGCGCCTCAGGGAAAAAAGGCGCCTGTTGTTCCCTCCGACGGGTTCCCGAAGCCTTCCAAGCGCGCGGCTCCGGCGGAAGGTGGGGAAAAGGAGCGTCGCGGCCGGCAACACGGCTCGCCTCACCGGCCGACCGTTAAGGCGGTCCTCCTTCGGGTCCGCCCACGTTTAAATGTGGCGGCAAGCCTCGGGGGGGCGGGGCACGTCGTCCGCGACGTCGGGACGCATGCGCGCGCCCCCCGTGCGCGCGTATGGTTTCCTAGGCTACGGAGGCGGGGAAGCCCCCCCAAGGAGTGTCAAATGTGGTGGTTGGGGGCCGGAAGGGGCTTCCGAGAAGCATTTGCGGGACGGTTTCTCCCGCAAATGCTTCTCTGAAGGCGGCGCACAGGGTGAAGGCCTTCTCTGCTCCCTGAGGGAAATAAACGGCATAGCCGCCATTTTCCTGACTGGCGTTGCTCTATCCCTCAGGACTCTATGGCGCCGTCGGACGTCGATGTCAAAGCCGCCCCTTCAGCCCCGCCCATGTGCCACGTGGGATGGATGAAGCGGGTCTTTTTTTTAATGATTAAAAAAAGCGCTTTGTCAGCGGCGCCCTTTTTTTACCTCACCCGCCGCCCGGAGGCGTTGCCATGGCAATCCCCCCTTAGCGCCCTTCCCTCGCGTATCCAGCCAATCCGAGCGCCGTCTCTACCGTCAGGCAAGAACAGGCGGCCCAATAGCAGGAGGGAATTGGCTTTCCCTCCTTCCGATTGGCTTGGCTGGTGAGGAAGCGCCTGCTTGGATTGGAGGAAGGAAAAAAGGGAGGCGGGCCCTCCCGCGTTCCCTCAGACCAGCTGCTGAGGCCGGCGGGGAAGGCGGTCGATTCCCGGAGCTGAGCTGAGGGGAGGCCGCAGGAGGGCGAGGCCGTTTCGCGGCGGTCCCCTCCCTGGAAGCCAGGCCGCGGAAGGAGTGCGACGAGGGCGGCCTGCGGAACTCCCAGAGACTGGAGGCTGAGCCAGGTCGGTCCTCGGAAGAGCCGGGGCTGCGGGGATTGGAGAGACGCCGCCGGAGAGCGTCGCTTCTGCGGTGGGAAACGAGGGGAGGGGAGGCGGCCGGCGCCTTCGGGGCTCGTCGTTTTCTTTACTTCCTTCCTTGTCCTCGTTTTACGACTGCAAGGCCTTAGGGACAGGGAGGCCCCCATTTCTATCTATCCATGGGTGTCCAAATATGTGTATATCAATAACAATTGCTCTGAGTGTCTTTACTGTATGTAGGAAAATTGATTATATATATATATATTTATCAGCACAAATAAAAACACACATTATACATATACATACATACATATATATATATAATATTATATTATATTTGTGCTGATAAATAAATAAAGGGAGACTAACATAGATCTATTTCAAGCTATTTAGCTCTCATCAGCTAACCATACCCTTACTGGGATTCGAACCTGGGCTATATTACATACTAGGCAAACGTCTTAGCCATTAAGCCACAGGCTCTTATCCGTTATCAGCNTTGAAACGGAGATGAGCACTGCCCCCTAGAGCAGGGAACGACTAGCACATATGTGCGAGGGGAACTTTTACCTTTACCTTACTTTGGGAAAAAGTACAGAAAAGAGCAACTAAGATGATCAAAGGCCTGGAGACTAAAACATAGGAAGAATGGCTGCAGGATTTGGGTTTGGCTAGTCTAGAGAAAAGGAGGACTAGGGGGACATGATAGCAGTCTTCCAGTATTTGAGGGGCTGCCACAAAGAAGATGGGGAAGGGTCAACATTTCCCATAGCACCTGAAGGCAGGACAAGAAACAATAGATGGAAACTAATCAAGGAGAGAAGCAATCTAGAAATAAGGAGAAACTTCCTAACAGTGAAGACAATTCACCAGTGGAACAGCTTCTCTTCAGAAATTATGGGCACCCCACCACTGGATGTTTTTAAAGAGTCTAAACAGTCCCTTATCAATGGTACAGGAGTAAGTCACTTTTCGAGGGCCGCTGTAAGTTTGGACGGTCTCTAAATGGAACGGTTGTAAGTCAAGGACTATCTGTACATGTTTTGGGGGAACGTCAAAGATGAAGCGTGTCTCCCGAGATTGAAATGTCACTTCTAGAGGCTCTTACCAGAGAAAATCCCCCTTACAAGAGGGGCGATGGAGGAGTTGAAGACTTCCTCCTGCTCGGCTGATGGATCAAAGACATAGTCATATGTAAAAGGTTTGTCCTTGCCTAGAATCACCTGCAGAAAAGGAGCAGAAAGAGAAGAGCCGTAACCATACCATCCTGTCATCTCGCCTTACCCACTAGTCCTCGTCTTATGGCCACAACGGAGCTCACAATTTCCACGCTAAGCAAGATAGGCAGCCGGTGAGTTTTGCCTCGTTTTGCGAGCTCTCTGGCCACGGTTGTTAAGTGAATCTGGCTTTCCTCCCCATTGCCTTTGCTTGCCAAAGGGGGCCAAATAACCTCGGGGGCCTGCGACCGTCATAATTGCAGGTCAGTCGCCAAGGGTCCGAATTTCGTTTACGAGACCACAGGGATGCTGCCACCGTTGAAAGTGTGAAATACGGTCACAAGCAATTTTCCTCACTGCCATTCAGGGCGGATAAAAAGTGATGACTTTTAATTAAAAAAAATCAGATTTTTAAATTTTTTTAATCAAATTTATTTTAATGAAATGCTTTGGGAGTAAAAAAAAAGTATCTACAGATAGTTTTCCATTTAAGATAAATGAATAATTTAGTTTCTTCAGCATGAAATGGGGCTTCCTTATGTAGCATGAGGTTGAATATTCTGCAATATTGAGACTGTTGGTGGGTGCAGAGCAGGTCAGAGGAGGAGCTGCTGCCAGACAGAGATGACAGCTGCTCTTTAAAAAGGATGGTTGAAATTGACTTGATTTAAATCAAATCCACCATGCTGCCATTGTAATTTGGGAAGGTCAGTAAGCAAATGCTTCTAAGTTGAGGACTTCCTACAGTAAGACATTGCCAGAAGAGCTATAAAATTTTAGAAGTCAGAGCATCTCCCAGCTGCGAATTTTCCCTCACCTGTGGCTCTCCAGGGACAAAAGATAAACACATCTGGCAACCCTCCGCGATTTCCTTGGGGACGAGGGGGCGGCATCTCAATGCTACCTTCACCGGAATTACACGGTCTTCCTCTTTAGGCATTGTATATTCTCGTACCTTCCTGAAAGAAATCACAAATGTTATTAAAACAAGCAGCCTTTTTTTCCCCGCCAGCAATTTCCAAACATTGGCATCCACGTATAGGTTGGTGACAATCAACTGTGTAGTAAGGAGTAGCCCCCCCCCCAATCAGGACTTATTTTATTCTTTAAAAAAGTAAATTCTAGATGTAGTACACAAAGGCAATCTAGTTAAAAAAGCTTTCCTGAGCATTTCATTAAGTTGGTCTGTCGATATTTGGAAAGTACAACAGAAATTTTAAAACTCTGAAACTACAACTACAATATTCTCACTGAATTTAAAGGGGCTTTTAAGTGAATAAATCAGCTATTCCCCTAATTAAGGGCCGTGTCTCCCACTGAAGATCATGGAGATGGATCTCCCACACTCCAGACGTGATCTACATTGGTCAGACACCAGACAGACACATATCTCTCAGCTGAGACTCCCATCAAAACCAACACTGACTTATCTATTTGCAGGCTGATAACTCATATGAATATTGCTAATACTACATAAAGGTTATGTCAGGGCAACTGGGCTTGGATTTGAAACATTTTGCTTCCTCAGTCTGTGCTGAGGTGAGTTTGCACCAAGAAAAGAAACCCAGTTGCCATGACTCTACCTCCAGAAAACTCTACCTGAGAATTTTCCTTGACACACATTCCTAATATTAGGAAATTATTAGTCTAAAAAAGGAAACTTTAAGGTGAGCTCAACTCCTTGTGATCTGACAGACGCAGTCATATGGATTTCTTGGGAAAAGTACAGAGGCTGCTTGCTTTTGCCTTCTAGGATGTAGGAGAACATCCGGGTTTAAGCTAACTCCTTTGGGGTTTCTTCATTGGAGTTCCATCCAAATGCTAATCATCCTATTTAGCTTCTTGAAATCAGTCAACTCCAGCAACTGCACGGCTAAAAGTGCCTGCAGACATAACGTCCACAAGAACCTTACTGGAAAACTCCCCTGTAAATCAAATCGGCATTAAGCCTCCGATGAAAACGACCAAAGTGAAAATTCAAGGTTGATCGTTGCAAAAGCAAAAACTAAAAGAAGTCGTGGCCGCTTCAGTTTAAAAAAAAAGTCACCAATTCTATTCTTCCCTGAAATTTCTCACCCAACCACGGATCGCTTTGGCTGTCAAAAGCAGGGCCATTCAGCCCAACCCAAATCTCCCAAGCTTTTCAATTGCGGGAGAAAAACAGGGGGGGTGACCTGTTCCCCAAAGGAACATCACTTTTATTCCCCTTCAAAAAAATAAAGTTTCCCAAACTTTCCAGCTTTGTGGACTGGAAGGGAAAAGTGATGGTTTCACGTGAGCAGCAGGCAGCCCCCCAAAAGAGCCGAGGTGGGGCAGTGGTTAGGGTGCAGTACTGCAGGCCAGTACAGCTGACTGTTATCTGCAGTTCA